GCTAGAAGCAAGTGACGAAGGTGGCATTGATGTATCTGATGTGGGATTGGTATTGCGCTGAAGCGCGTTGACTCAGGGAACTGTGAACTCATTGTAATCATAATTTTTGATAATATAAGTGACGGGTCTTGGTCCTATTCTCATCTACCTTTGTCTCGTGTGTGGCAACTGTGTCCATTGAGTGTGAAGACGATGTTTGATGTATGCACATCTGCGTGAGTTGGTCCCCAGGACCCATGCAAAGGAAACAAAGCTCTGACAATGATTGCAGTTGTATACATTCTTGGAAGTGGTAGTGTGAGTGCATCTCATCCCCGTCGCCAGATTATCAGATTCCAGAAACAGAAAACAAGGAAAAAAAAAACGGAAATACGGATTCGGTCATGAAAATGGCTGGATACCTTCCTCTAAGTGCCAGTGTGATCAGGGCTACAATCCTCTAAGGAAACACAGCTTGAGCAGATCACAGATACCGCCTGCCTCGTTGGCGGGGGACAATACACGAGGAAGACAAAAAAAGAAAACAACTTTCTACATGTGACCGTGTTTGCTGTAAGATGCATTCTGTTGAGGAAGACTGAGCACGACCTCCTAGACTACCCTGCCCGACATCATTGCTGTACAGAAAGCTTTCTTTTTTTTTCCCTTTTCCTTTCACGCGCGGGCAAAAGAAAACTAAGCTTTATGGGACTTGCCAACCCTGGGTCCCACCACCGAATTCTTCGGGAACAGGCTAAAACTCATCATTTTCCAACACTGGCAGAGGTAATGGTTGTTTAAAGCCAGAGCAGCCGTACCTGTTGTGTCTTGGAACAAGGAGATTGCTTGATGTTTTCACTTATGCCGGGGTGTCTGGAGGGCTTTGAGAGAGTGCCACACCCAAAGAAGCTCCCTGTCATGCAGAGAGTGCTGCCCCCAGAAACGTGTCCTGTCTAAGACACGAGCTGCTATAGAATCACACCTATTCATCCGCTTGTTCGAGTGCCACTCCTCTTCACGGATCTGTCTTTCAAACTTGAGACGTCATATACGTCATATTCATGAGAACGTCAAGTGATAAAATCCAAGGAAACAGTTCAAGGTATTCCTATTTCGGATTTCTTCCAAGCTGCCGAGAGCTAACCTCTTCATGAGTGTGCTGAATTCTTTGTTTTTTTTTTTCTGAATTCTAAGGAAATACTACAATAGTCCACGCATGTCGGGGGGTTAAGTAATTGACAGCTCTCATGCATGGTCAACTATGTGGCGTGGTTGTGTTGTTGTTGCTGCCCACATCTTTTGTGTGGCTGGATGTAACAGTAAGGTCGCACAGGGAACATTGCAGTTCTTCGTCGACTGTGGCATAGTTGTGACCGCTCACCCATGCATGCCATCGGCAGTAGAGTGGTCACAGTTTGACATTCTGCTCCAGCATCCTTTAACTCCTTTTCCGACTGAACAAGGTGGTGCTTATGTTTTGGAATGTTCTGGACGTAGGCAGGATAAGCCAGGATATTACGCGCGAGGCCTAGTAGTAAGTGCAATAGGGAAAGATGAAGGTTTTTAACCCTTACCTCCTGTTCGGTCTTGTTGTTCTGCAGCTTGAAAGCATTGGTGGTGCTTAATGAATTGCGTTGCAATAGACGCCCAGTATATGGGTCAGTTGCTCCAAATCTCTTGCCTCCTCTCTTCTGCTTGATGAATTGCGTTGCAATAGACGCCCAGTATATGGGTCAGTTGCTCCAAATCTCTTGCCTCCTCTCTTCTGCTTCGTGTTTTGCACTCTTGAAGGTCTGGTGGATGTCGTCTCCTGTTGGGCAGGTTATACTTTTTTTTTTTCTGATTTGGACCATTTCTCGATTTATGGGTGTCATCCTTGTGCAGGGGCCATGCTAATCTTTTGATTCTTTTCTGTATTGTTCAGGGTTGCACACACTCCGACGGTCGGCGGCCCTTGACTGGTCGGCTGTCGACACGCCGACCGGTTGGCTGGTCCGCACCTACCGGTCGGGGGTCGTCGGCACCCCGCAAATTATTATTATTATGATTATTATTTTTTTTTTGGGGGGGGGTCCAGAACCTCTAATAACACCACCAACATTCCCATAGCGGCCCCGAATACCCCCCAACACCCCCAAACCTCCCCCAACGCCCTCATTACCCCACCCAATACCCTCTATACCAACCCTATATCNATCCCCAAAAGCTTCTCAGCGGATTTGGGCTGTACTCAGCAAGCGCAGTACACCCCCAACTCAGATTTGAAAAAAAAGCAGTGGATGGTTGCTTTCTGACTGGTCAGCAGACCGCCGACCGGTCGGCGGTCGGGGTCGGTGGTTGGCAGGCATGCAACCCTGGTATCGTTCCAATTTTGATGGATGTCCCGAAGGACGCCTACTATACTAATAGGGCCAACCTCAATCTCAAATTGGTTGTATTTGGATCTAGCAACGAGTATATCTCCTAAACAAGTGGTCCCAGTGTAGTCAAGGAGTGAATCACCTATGTGGTCCCCACAACAGCTGCTCCATTGGATCTATAGTCGATTTGGGGTCATACCTGTCGCGGAGTAGATGGAGTTCTTGAACAGACTTCGAACACCAGTTAATTCTTCATATGTTGTTCACTTGCTTGAGGATGGCATCCTGCTGTTTGCAAATTGCTGCAACCGCACAAGCAAGCCAGCCACTTAAAGGTGGTGGGTCGAAGCCCTTTGCTATTCCAACAGTTCAAATCTTGTAGTCTGGGAAAGGAGATAAAAGGGATGATGATCTTCACAGCTCCACAAATCGTGCACCTCTTACCACTCAGGGCTGCTTAGAAGGGTACTCACAGCAAAGCAAGCAGGTCAAGTGTCGTCGCTATAGCTAAAAGGGCGGCATTTCCCCAATGTGTCGTTATGTCACACCCTACTGCAGGCAAACTGAAGAGTGCCCACAGCAAGGTGAGCCTGGCTACAAGGGGCAGAGGGGCATGACAGTATCGCAAGCTATTTGCAACTATAATAATGACGAAGCAACTCTGATGGGGATGGCCATGATGTGGAAGTTATGAACCTCAACAATTGTAATCCCCTGTCAAAGCAGCCATGATGATGAACAAACCATGGCGATGTTGTTGACAATAACAATGGTGATGGCAGTGCTGATGGTTATTGGTCCATGATGATGATGGCCATAAAGCTGACTGTGTATAAAGTGCATGGTTACAAAGGTGGCGACAATGTGCAGGATGGCCACGTCATGTGTAAAATAACCGAGATGACGTCAGAACAAGGAGGTGGACATTTTGAAGGGGCTGTGGGAACAACCAAAGAAACCATGATCAAGAATGTAAACGAAGTTTTCCACAAGTGTGTTACTCCCTACACCTGCAAGTCAATTCTTCCTTTCTTTTTTTCTGATTTTTTTCATGCTACCACATCTTACTGCATCAAATCATCCTTCATTACTGCAGCATACGTTTTGCTTAAGCAAATATTTTGTTTCTGCACCAAAGCATTTGCTGCAAAAGCCTGCAATGAGTCAGAGGACCCTGCACACGGGGGTGCACAAGTGTGGATCCGGGCACTGACCCCGCCTACAGGGAGTGTACAAGCGTGGACTGATGCACACAACCCATGAATGTAAACCCCCCCTCCCTGACTACCACATCTTAATGCATCAAAACATCCTTCATTACTGCAGCATACGTTTTGCTTAAGCAAATATGTTGTTGCTGCACCAAAGCATTTGCTGCAACGAGTCAGAGGACCCTGCACATGGGGTCGCACAAGTGTGGACCCGGGCACTGACCCCGCGTACAGGGAGCGTATGAGCGAGGACCGAGGCACACAACCCATGAATGTAAACCCGCCTTCCCTGATCGCCTGCGCACTTACACGATGTATGTAAATTTGTAAAAGTAACGGTGGTGGTGATGGTGGTAATCGTGATGATGATGACGACTGCAATGATGATGATGCTGATGAGGTCATAACATCCGCAATGGCAATGATCATAACTATGTTATGTCAGCAATGGCTGCGATAAATTAACAACCGCATTCATGCCAACACCATGAGAAATGGTCATGTTGACGTGGAACATGCGCATATCACCTGGCACAAGGCGTGTGACATGAGCATGTCACCTGGCACAAGGACTGTGACATGAGCATGTGACCTGGCACAAGGACTGTGAAGTTGTGACGTGAACAGTCATGGAAATACTGTAGCAACTGTGAGGAATTGAGCTGTCAAAGTGATCTGGCATGCAACAACGGAGATATGATGGTCCTTGGTAATCCCAAAAGCAGTGTGTTGCTCAGGCATGTTGGCAGAAGAAAGCTGTTATTGTTTCCATGTATGGGACACAAATTTGGACTTTGTGGTCTCTGCTACTGACCCTCTCAACGATGGCATACTTGGCTATCATGGACTGGGTGTTGTGCATGGCTTGTTCATATCCTGGTGGAATGAAGGAAGGACTTGAGGAAACTTGTGGAGGTGGAGAATCCTATCTACCATGTGCATAAGGTGGGTAGACGCTGATCTATCAAAATAGTTGATGGTTGCGTATTGTGCTTTTGTCTTGCTAGCCAATTTGATGATCTCTGTGTATTTGTCGGTGGCTTCTAGAGTGCCATGCTCTCACATTGTAGGATGTGGACTTGCATTCTCATGCTTCTTTGGCGATGTTGTCCTGGTTTTCCAGATATGGCGTTTGTCGAACAAATATTGCAGAAAGTGGTGCCCTGTCTGTCAGAAGGATTGGACCAGGGAGTGGCAGGGATCAAGAAGGGATCAAGAAAGTCAATGGATAGCAGTATTCCCTGCACACCCGTGCAGGCTTGCATCCCACTCTTAACAAACCGTTGTACCTTCCGTAATTTACCCGAGTCCTAAAGCTTACATCATCATCATTTAATACTCGCACTTCTCAGTGAATTTCAAATCGCAAAGAGAAGGAACTGACAAACAAGAAGAAGAGTGGGAGAAGAAGAATAACTTATAATGATCAATATATACAATGTCTCGCCTCTCTCCTCTCTTCATCCCCCGGGCACTTCTCCCTCAACTCGCCATAAGCGAGGCACCATCCTATCATCTACTAGGGGTTCAGCTGCTCTGAACTCTCACAATGCCTCGCCAATTCGCAATGTCTCTAGCCAAATTGATACCACTGTGGCACTGGGCTCCCAAGGTCAGTGCTATGAACAATTGGCAAGGGCGGCCTCCTGAAGCAAACACAGTCTCCGGCTTCAATCGCAACACACTCGTGGTTAATAGGTGGTTTCATTTTCGGCGAATTTTTCACCGAAACTGCCATATTTCCCTGAATTTCTGCTTTTTTTGGTTTTGTTTTTTTTGTCTGATATGTATAAGCTTTAGGGTATATCTGTATTCAGTGTCGGCGAATTTGGACGAGTAACGAAAAAGTTGGCAAAAACACCGAATTCGGGAAACGTTTTGGCGAAGCTACTTCGAGTAGGGTTTCATAATGCTGTTCAATTTTTTCTTTTCGTTTTTTTTTTGCCTGTTTGGTATTTTGATGTTTGTATTATGAGCCTGCATTTTTTGTTTGCAAAAGTTTCGACGACATTGCTTGTAGTGATGCAGCGAAAAACCCCGAATTTTGGGACAGCATCTCTCTCTCTCTCTCTCTCTCTCTCTCTCTCTCTCTCTCTCTCTCTCTCTCTCTCTCTCTCTCTCTCTCTCTCTCTCTCGACGACATTGCTTGTAGTGATCGGCGACATGCAGATATAATGACGCAAAAATGACCGTATTGATTTCCCAACATACGCAGTGAAATGAATCGAACCGAGAACCAGAGTAAGCATATAACAAACAGGCGAGGGGAAGATGAAAGTACTCACCTGAAAAATAATGATGAAACACATGACAACGCGAAAGACAAAGATACAAAGCCAGAAGAAAGCCAAAAAGACAAGTCAGATATAAACAAGTTTTCAACATTATTTTTCGACAGAAATACGGCTGAAAGGGAAATAAACTGAATGAGTATGGAATTCCGGCACAGAGAGAGGAATAGAAACAGAATAGACTGTACCATAGGAGCATACGCAGGTGGAAGATGTTATATGCAGCAAATCGACGACCACGGGAAACCAACGACGACAAGGGCGTTACAGAGCGTGACTACGGAGAAATCAGAGGCAACGATGATGAGGGCACTGCAAGGATTGAGGACAAGCAGGTGGGAAGGATAAGGATTATAGGGTATAAATTCAGGGACGGTGGCTGAAAGGATTACCTGAGCAGTGAGGTAGAAGGGTAATCGCGACAGTTGTCGCATGCCATGGACAGGACGTGTATACTGCGAAA